GCACAGAGGTCCTAGGCCAGGGGTCCTCAAACTTGGCCATGTTGTGGACTTCAGCTCCTAGAATTCGCCAGCCATGCTGGCTGGGGAATTCTGGGAGTTGAAGTCCACAACTCTTAAAAGTGGCCAAGTTTGAGGACCCCTGGCCTAGGCAATAGGGCAGAATAGCCACCAAAAGCATCCCTTTTTGCACAAAAGGCAGCCAATCCTTGAACAATCTCAAAGAGAAACCACACATTCATTAATCAAGGCTTGTTTGGCTCAGTGGAAAAAAAAGCAGGCAGCTCTTCACAAAAGACAGCTACTTACAGTGAGTGACTCCAGCAAGAGTTTGATAGAAGGTGGGGGTGTCACTGTCATCTGTCAGTGTGACATACACTCCTCCGGAGAGCAGCCAGCGGGAAAATGTGAAGGCTTCTTTATTGTGCAACAGCCAAGATCTGAATTTTTCATAGTTGACTTTTTCTCCCTGCAATAAAAGCAAAGGGAAAAGGGAGAAATGAATTGTGAAGTTTGGTTCCTTCCCCCCCCCCCAATCAACTGTCTAAGGCAGCATTGTGGTTGCCCTCAGGGAGGGCTTGGGGGGGCTACTGGGGGGGCTACTGGGGGGGCATGGATGGAGTGGGTGTGGCCTACTGGGTGGGCATGGCCAGCTCTACATCGTTCGCGTCAAGGGTGCCTGTGGGGGCCTGGGCAGGAGTGGGACAGATCTGAGGGTCTCTGGCAGAAGGGGGTGGGACCGGGGCAGAGCCCATCAAGCCGGATATGTGAAGTAGGCGAGGGCCATTTGCTGGCCACTTCCAGGCGATGGTGCATTTCTTCATTCCTCACAAAGGGTGACCCCTCCCCAGCATGCACCCAGGGGGCGGGGGCCGACACGGCAAGGGCTGGTTCCTCGCTGTTTCCAGACGGCCTTGTGGCGCTAAGACTGAATGCATTTCAGCATAGATGGCCACCACAAAATTGTACATTGGCTCCCGGCCGGCCTGGGCCAGGGCCAAGGCAGAGGGGGCCGTTCCCTCACTGTTTCCAGGATGGCTTCGCAGGCCACATGAAACCACTTCTTGGGCCGCATCCGGCCCCCGGGCCTTATGTTTGACATGTCTGCATTAGAGCTATCGATAGAAAATAAAACAGTCTTACTCAGGCTGGGCATCCTCTAGTCCAGTGGTTCTCAACCTTTTTAATGCCGCGACCCCAACCGGTCGTAAGTCGAGGACTAAACCGGTCATAAGTCGAGGACTAAACCGGTCGTAAGTCGAGGACTAAACCGGTCATAAGTCGAGGACTACCCAACCGGTCGTAAGTCGAGGACTTTCCCTGCCCGGGAGTGCCGCGCATGCGTGGTTCCGCCCCCTGCGCCGGCCGAGGCGTAGCTGGCAAGTGGCAGAGACGGAGCAGGCTGGGTGATTTTGAGCCAATCACTAAGAGACTCTTGAGTTCTTTTCCCACCTCAGGCCTGAAAGCCGACTGGGTGACTTTGGGCCAATTGCCAGGAGACTGGGAATTCTAGTCCCACTTTAAGCATAAAAGCTGGCTAGATGATCTTGGTACGGCGTACAGGTGACAGGGATCAATCAAAAGAGTTGGGAGGTACTGTGACATCAGAACAGCTAAACCAGTAGTATTTAGGGAGAGATTAATGAAGGAATTGCAAGCCACAAGACAAGAAAGAAATATAGGTACTTCCCAACTTACAACTACAACTGAAGCAAAAAAATTCAGTTACTAAGTGAGGGGGTTGTTAAGTGAATTTTGCCCCATTTTACAACCTTTCTTGCCACAGCTGTTAAGTGAATCACTGCAGTTAAGTTAATAACATGGTTGTTAAGTGAATCTGGCTCCCCCCTTGACTTGGCTTGTCACAAAAGGGGATCACATGACCTCGGGGCACTGCAACCGTCGTAAATATGAAGCAGTTGTCAAGTGTTTGAATTTTGATCATGTGACTACAGTCACAAATGTAAAAATCGTCGTTAAGTAACTTTTTTCAGTGCCATTGCAAAATTTGAATGGTCACTAACTAAACGAATGGTTGTAAGGTGAGGAGTACCTCTAGGCAGGAAACGAAAAGAGTCCTCTGCATTTATGTGCTTGCCTACTAATTGCAACTGAGTATTAAAATCACATTTTCTCAAACTCTGCTCTTGATGAGCTTGAAAGAAATATCCTTCGAACCCTCTCTCTCTCTCGTTAAAACGACTGCTGTTATTTTCTGATCCGTTGTAATGGCAGCTGAGTGCCTGGGTTTAAAAATAAAACATTCCTGCCAATTCCTTTGTCGAGAGATCAGAGTGCTGATTTTTCAACTGCAGGGCCTGCTGTTGCATTCAAAGCCAGCCTGAAAGAAAACTATGATTAACTTCAGGAGCCCTGTATCTATTGGCCTGCGTGTATTTTTAACCCTTTGCCACAAAAGGATTAGCTTCGGCCTCCAGCGAGCTTATCAGGAATAGACAGCTTGGTGAAAGAGAACACACTTCGGTGCTGTGATAGCTAGCAAGACAAAGTCTCTGGCACAATTTTGCAAAAATACACCGCTAGGACCGAGGTGGGGGAACAGAGAGTGGTTATGTCTAACGGCAGAACAGATCTGTTCTATCAGAGTGTCACACACAGCTCTTACCAACTTAACTTGTTCCAGGTTTTAATATCTGTAATAGACTTTTACTTACAGGCAGTCCTCAACCTAAGACCACAGCTAAGCCCAACATTTATGTTGTTAAGTGCGAAATTTGCTAAGTGAGGTTTGCCCCATTTTACAACTTTTCTTACCACATTTTAATTTAATTTAATTTAAAGTTTAATGAAAAGAAGGACTAGGGGTGACATGATAGCAACCTTCCAATATCTCAGGGGCTTCCACAAAGAAGAGGGAGTCAAGCTATTCTCCAAAGCGCCTGAAGGCAGGACAAGGACCAACGGATGGAAACTGATCAAGGAGAGAAGCAACCTGGAACTAAGGAGAAACTACCTGACAGTTAGAACAATTAACCAGTGGCACCACCTGCCTCCAGAAGCTGTGAATGCTCCAACACTGGAAGTCTTTAAGAAGAGACTGGACAGCCATTTGTCCGAAATGGTATAGGGTTTCCTGCCTGAGCAGGGGGTTGGACTAGATGACCTCTAAGATCCCTTCCAACTCTGTTATTGTTACTTGTTAAGTGAATCAATGCGGTAGTTAAATTAGTAACACGGCTGTTAAGTGAATCTGGTTTCTCCATTTCTTGTCAGAAGGTTGCAAAAGGTGTTCCCATGACCCCAGGACACTACAACCATCATAAATATGAGTCAGTTGTCAAGCATCCGAATATAAACCACATGCCCGTGGGGATGCTGCAATGGTTGTAAATGTGAAAAATGGTCATAAGTCACTTTTTTCGGTGCCACTGTAACTTCGAATAGTTACTAAGCAAACTGTTGTAAGTCGAGGACTACTGTACTAAGCTGTGTCATTGTCTGAAAGGAGCAGGAAAGAACTGGGGATCAGCTGCATTGGACGTAACACTTACTAACAGGAGAGAAAAGGTTGAGGAAGCAAAAGGTTTTATGAACCATGGAGAGAGTGAGTCTATTATCTTAGTACTGCAGGCAGGGAGAGCTAAATTAGTGTTCTAGATTCAAGAGAGCTGAGTTCAACCAGCTAAAGCAGGGGTAGGCAACCTTGGCTCTTTTACGACTCGTGGATTTCAACTCCCAGAATTCCTGAGCTAGCCAGGAAGAGGAGAAATGGAGAGGTTTCCAAGCTGAGCCATGCTGACTCAGGAATTCTGGGAGTTGAAGTCCACGAAGATTGAAGAACAGCTCAGGTCTGGTAAGATGGGAGCAAGAGAGCTAATAATTGCTCAAAATGACTGGGGCAATAGACACCAAAAATAATAAATATTTTATGATATTTATAAAATATCATAAATTAAATAAATAAATAAATAAACACCACTTCATTATCCAAATAAATAAACACCACTTCATTATCCAAACTCGGTAACATTATTATCCGTGCTTCCTGACAGTTAGAACAATTAACCCGTGGAACTACCAGCCTCCAGAAGCGGTGAATGCTCCAACACTGGAAGTTTTTAAGAAGAGACTGGACAGCCATTTGTCTGGAATGGTATAGGGCAGTGGTGGCGAACCTATGACACGGGTGCCAGAGGCGGCACTCAGAGCCCTCTCTGTGGGCATGCATGCCATCGCCCCAGTCCTAGGCCTTCAGCTGGGTTTTATAAAACCTTTTCGCTTTAGGCCTCCGCCGCCGTGTGCAAAAAAAAAAAAGGTTCAATCAATCAGTCAATTTCAACTTCTCGCGGGGAAAAAAAGGTCTTACAAAGTTGGAATTGATTGATTAAACTTTTTAGTCCCACCCAGTCTGCTGTCACCACCGCAGCCACGCCCACCCAATGGGCCACACCCAGCCAATGGGCCACGCCCACCCGGCACCCGACGATGCATAAGTGGGTTTTGGGTTGCAGTTTGGGCACTCGGTCTCTAAAAGGTTCGCCATCACTGGTATAGGGTTTCCTGCCTGAGCAGGGGGTTGGACTAGATGACCTCCATGGTCGCTTCCAACTTTATTATTATCATCATCATCATCATCATCATCATCATCATCATCATCATCATCATCACTATTTTTTCCTATTATTCCTATTCTATTCTTATTCTGTGAATAATAGGAAAGCGCTGATAACGTTACCTAGTTTGGATAATGAAATGTCTGCAAGAAAACAGTCAAGCGTAGAGAGCACCACACAGTCCTTCCAGCTCCTCCTCCTCTCTCCAAAACCTCCTCACTTCTAGTACTGATGATGTTACCTAGCTGGGTGCAAGAAAACAGCTAAGCTCAGACAGCACCCTGGAGCCCTCATTTGAACCCTGAGCTAGAAATTTTAACCCAAAGTCACCCAGGTGGCTTTCATGGCTAACATGGAACTAAAACTCACAGACACCTGTGATTTTAGGCCGACACCTTAACTACCACACCAAACTGGCTGTAATTTCAAAATTACACTGAATTTCAAACTGAACTTCAAAATTCAATGTAGTTTTGAAATTACAGCCAGTTTGGTGTAGTGGTTAATTTGAAATTCAAATACAAATTGCTGTCTTTCTGGAATGCTCTGAAGATTTTTTTTTGCCCTGGAGCAGGGGTTGGATCAGAAGGTCTCCAGGATTCCACATCTGGCTCAGGTACAACTTTTTTAGGGCATCTGACATTCCCAGAGAGATGAAGCCCTCACTTAGTGTGTCCAGGATTTGGACTGGGCCTTCTTAAGACACAGAATGAATCTGCTCTGTACAAGGCAGTTGTGTGACGTCGACCGATCGGCAGTCGACCGATACACGGAACGGTTCGTAGCTTTCGTCTTGTACGACGGTTTACGTGTAGACCACGGTTGTCGACGAGAGAGTGTGTGTCTGTGGGTTTCCGTCTGAGGTTTACGGTTATTTGTACACGGCCTTAACTAGTGTTTATAACTGACAAGAATCTCGTGAAAGGTATATAATAAAAGTTGCAGTGCTCTAGGTCAGAGGTGTCCAACCTTGGCAACTTTAAGACCAGGGGACTTCAACTCCCAGAATTCCCTAGCCAGCTATGGGAGCTGAAGCCCACAAGTCTTAAAGTCGCCAAGGTTAAAGGAAGACCACTCTTGATTTTGCAAACAGGAGATGGTGAGACTGATGTAGGGAATGCTGGTCAAGAGGTTTAATAAGTATAGCTCTACCAGGCTACCATGGTCACAGAAATCAAAATTCAGGCGCCTGGCAACCAACATATATTTAAAATGGCTGCTGTCATGTGTCTGATTAACGAAACACTTAAAAGGACTTTCAGGCATATTTTTTCCTAAAAGCATTTATTAAGGTTACAGCAGTGATGGCGAACCTTTTAGAGACCGAGTGCCCAAACTGCAACCCAAAACACTTATGCATCATCGAGTGCCGGGTGGGTGTGGCCCATTGGCTGGGTGTGGCCCATTGGGTGGGCGTGGCTGCGGTGGTAATGGCAGACTGGATGGGACTAAAAAATTCAATCACTTCCAACTTTGCAAGATCTTTTTTTTCCCCGCGAGAAGTTGAAATTGACTGAACCTTTTTTTTTTTTTGCACATGGCGGAGGCCTAAAGCGAAAAGGTTTTATAAAAACCAGCTGAAGGCCTAGGATTGGGGCGACAGCGCGCGTGCCCACAGAGAGGGCTCTGAGTGCCGCCTCTGGCACCCGTGCCATAGGTTTGCCACCACTGGGTTACAGAGACGTCAGTACAGCATGGTGGAAATGCTTAGGTCTGGCTTCTCTTCCGTTACGCATATACATTCTAAGCATTTCCCCCCCCCCCTTATTTTGGGGTCATGGTTCACATCTTCCAATCAACTTGGAAAATGTGATTTACTTCCGGTTTCTTTTTCCCGGGCTATCCTTATTCTCCTCCCTTTTTTTCTGTTGCCTGGTTTAACTATAAAAATACCAGACAGTTCTGCATATTGTCAAAGCAAGAATATACAGTATTTGCAGCATTGACATCTGCAGCATCCCAGGATCATGTGATTGCCATTTGTGACTCTCCCAGCCAGCTTCCCACAAGCAAACTCAATGGGAGAAGCCCGATTTGCTTAACAACCAAGTGACTCATTTAACAACTGCAGTGATTGAGTGATTCGCTCAACAACGATGGCAAAAAGGGGGTAAAACAGGGGATGGCTTGTGTAATTTCCACCCTATTTTGGCAACAGAAATTCTAATTGTTGTTTTAAGTCAAGGACTATCTATATTTAAATGTCCCTGTTGTGATTAGGTAATGAATTTTTGTGTCATTACCCAAAAAAACCCTTCCACTTTTACCCAATTCTGGGTGATTTACTCATATGTGGGAAGCAACGGACTAATGTAATCTTTCCCTGAGCAAAACAAGCTAATCCACACTAAATAGAAGACTGGAATTGCTTCTTTTGTTTCTTTTCATCTCAAAAGCAGCACGACAAAGAGAACCTCTGTTCCCATTAACAAGGTACGGGCCCAGCTAGCATGCTACTTTCTGGGAGAAAACTACCAACCTGGTTCTAATCTTTAGCACTTACATAACTTTCCTCCTAGCAGGAAGAAAATCACAAACAGCCCAACAGAGATGCTTATCTGTTTCACCCACACACACAAGAGGAAAAGGGAAAACTGGTTCTGCATAAGTGGCTGGCAAGGGCACACGCAGGCAGCTCCATTTGCGCAAGCGGCATGCACGCACGCCTGTTGCTCACGCAAATGGAGCACGTCCGCACACGCTCACCCGCTGCTCACGCAACTGAGGAGTGCGTGTGCGCTCGCTGGCCGTTTCCACCGCACAGTTGCAATCCCAGGGCCCACAGTTTGGGGACCCCCCGGTCTAAGGATTAAAAAAAATAAATCTTTAAAAAGTTTGTGGCATCCAGGTACTTCTCCTTCATCATAGTGGTGCAGTGATTAGAATGCAGTATGGCAGGCTAACTCACTGCTCACTGCCAGGAGTTCGATCCTGACCGGCTCAAGGTTGACTCAGCCTTCCATCCTTCCGAGGTCGGTAAAATGAGGACCCAGATTGTTGGGGGACAAATATGCTGATTATGTAAACTGCTTAGAGAAGGCTGTGAAGCGGTATATAAGTCTAAGTGCTATGGCTATTGCTTCCTTCCTTCCTTTCCTTCTTTCTCTCCCTCCCTTTTCTCCTTCCCTCCTTCCTTCTTTCTCTCCCTTTTTCTCCTTTCTTCCTTGCCAGGGTAGAGCAGTGGTTAAAATGCGGTATTGCAGGCAGACTCTGCCCACTGCCAGCAGTTTGATTCTCACCAGCTCAAGGTTGACCCATCCTTCCATCCTTCTGAGGTCGGTAAAATGAGGACCCAGATTGTTGGGGACCATTGGCTGACTCTATAAACCGCTTAGAGAGGGCTGTAAAGCACTGTGAAGCAGTATATAAGTCTAAGTGCTATTGCTATTTAAAAAATTAGTATAGCAGTATTCCACAATTAGCATCATTAAAAGAGAATTGGCATCAAGGCAGAATAATTATACTATTGAGAACAAAAAAAATTGAATATTGAATAAAAGGTGGACAATGATCAGGAATTACCTCCGAGAAGCATTTTTTTAGACATTCGGGGACTTTCCCATCAATTATGAGAAGCATCCTCTCCATCTCTTCACGGGCGACATGGCTCCCAGATTCATTGGAAAACAGGCTGAAAATATCTAAGAGAGAAGACAAAACAATGTACCCAGAGCAAAATAACTATTTCTGTGCAAGTCAGAC